GTGGAGAATGATACAGCTGAATTCCTTATGGTAACAACAGCCTCTCCTGCATTTGTACCACTCTGTGCACTGTCCGTCTTCTGTGTCCTGGCCCTACTTCTACTCATGACTTACCTTTTACTGTGGTTGTATCAGTAGGTAACTCACCTCTGTACAAAATAAAGCTTCTTTTAATAGCAAAGGATAATAAAGTCCCCCATCTAAATATGTGATCTGGTTATAGCAGCCTGGGCATAACTGATAAGGGCGCTGGGAGGACAGAGGTCTGCAGAGAGATGAGGGTTATGGAGGGCAGCAGGATAAGAGATGGACAGAACATGCCTCAGAGGCACAGCAGAACTTGGCTCAGGGTGCAGATGAATTTACATCCACTTTGCTGCAGGTAAACTTGTCCCCTATCTAGAAAGATCTGTTTCTGAAAGGGGCTTGGTAATGTGCGTAAAATACTACAGGGTTTGCAAACCCTGCATTTTGTTTATCGAACATGAAACAGCTGAACCCAAAGCAGCCTGAATTTACCCATGACAGATCCTGAGTCAGGCATAAGCCCTGTTGAAAGCACAGCCTCTTTAGTTCATTATTCCTCCTGTGCACCAACTTCTGATGAAAACCCCTCTTACAAAAACATCAAAGTTGGCACATTAACAAAATCTTTTCCTCAAGGTGCTGTTTCTTCATCTTCTCAGAAAGCGCAGCCTCCAGGAACAGTTCTGCCAGGCATTTTTCTTCATTACAACATTACAAGGTTTTGAAATGCTCATTTAAGTAGAGCGTTAAAACCGGTGGCTGCTTACATTGTTAAGAAAACACTGCATATCTCCCTTTGGCAGACTGCAGTGCCAGAGAATTTCAGACCTTTCCTCTGTTCCACCAAACCTTCAGAAATAAGAATAATTTGATGATTTGTGGGTATCCTAGAAAAATCATTCTCTTCTATTATAGCAGTGATTCTGGAAAGTGAAGAAGTAAATTTATCCTAAGATGAAGAGACCAGTGGTCTGAGCAAGCTCCGGAGGGTAGCATCCTAGTTCTGACGGCTCCATGAATGCCTAGCTGCAGGGGCCCTGCAAGAGGCTGTCAGCCTCTAATAAACATGGTATAGCCAGCAAACTCATTAACGGATTTTGACCTAAAATGACACAGCACTGCTGCTACTGAATTTTTTAATGTTTTGGAACTATATAAAGTAAATGCTTTTTACTGTAGTCCTCGGGTTCTCACTATACATGTAAACTTCACTAAAACGCTACTAGCTGTGTTATTAATAAGTAAACATTTTCTGGCTGGTGTTTTGCTGTAAAATAGTTTTGCGTTTCCACAAACATTTGCCAGTTTACACTAAACAGTTTTGGCCAGATTACTCTGGTGTCCCCTGGCGAGCACAGCTAGCATCCTGTAGCTGTTCCACTTTGCACGGGGCAATGAAAAAACAGACAGCAGATCAGAAAGAGAAACCCTGCAGGGCTTTCATTTCCACCCTTCTTTTGGGGACTTTTGCAATTGGAATACCACCCTTTCCTCTCAGCAGGTGGCAGCCTCTATAGTTCTCCATGTATGGATAAGTATATGTCTCTAATTTTTTTTTTCTTTCTCTCTGTCTCAATCTGCATATCAAAAGAGAGAGAGAATTTCTAGTGAGTCTAAAAATTACCACTGGAGTGCCAAGGGGCATGTGTCTTCTTACTTATCTCTTATCTCCAGGATTTCTCTTGGATATTTTAAAATCCAGCAAAAGATCCTGTGACTTCTGCATGGGACAGGTAATTACAACCCTCTCATCTCAGTTTCATAAACACGTCGTGAAACAGGCAGCAGCTCTAAACCACTGAGGAGCAGCAAGATACCCTATTGCTGAGTGCCGTGTCCTTGCTGTGCAGAGCTGGCCAGTTGCAACTTCAAGGGAGCCAACAATGGTTCAAGGTTCCAAACAGTGCTGCCGTATCATTATGGTATTAAATGGTTAAATTCAGTTCCCCATTTTTTTCTTTTGTTCCCGTAACTATGGTATCAAGCCAAGAGCCGTATCTCTTATTCATACATCCTTCCGAAACCACTCTCCCTGGGAAGTCTATTCACAAAAACTTGTACATTAATCAAAACAGTAACTTGTAAAGGTCCTGAGATCTTTCAGCTTTCCGTGCAGACAAGGGGAATGGCTCAGCACTTATGAGAAGATCAGGTTTGATGAGCTGTCCGGCTCTGCTGGGTCCCCAGTAAAAGAAATGCCTCTGAGATAACAGAACCTGGAAGCTACAGCCAGAAGGACTAACAGGGATCTCAGTTTTGTTGGGAAGGAAGCTCTCAATCCAGGGATGTTGTGAAGGAAAAACCCACCACTTTCTCGCAATCTTTCATTAAAGTCACCCAAATTTTCCTGTAATTGGTAAACCCTCATGTTGGGTTCTCTCTGCTTCCAATTAACTAAGTCTGAATGAATGCTCTTCCAGCTTGTGATTAAGGAAAATTTGCATTGCAAAGCCATATTGTTGTTAAAATCCCTTCTTTTTCTTTTCAAAATAGAATTGATAGCAACGATTTAAACAAATAACATTAAATATTGTCTTGACTTCCCACCATGTGTGAAATCCTCCCAAAGTCTTTAAAAAGCAATTGCTGAAATGATGAGTTCCCTTTTCAGCTGGTACAGAACATCATGTGCTAGGGAAGGGCTTAGCTCAGTGCGTTAGAAGGCTGAAATCCTCCCAAGATTGGTTTTGCTGCCCCATGTGTATTTGTACTCCTGTACGTGGTCAGCCATTATAACAGAACCCTCCAAGCTCAGCTGGTTTTTATTAAAACAAATGTGTTCATTAACCTGAATGAATGGTACAAAATCTTACTTTCTTCAGTCCTTCACAGTGTATGTGCACCAACTGAACAGGTAAATAGAAGATAAAAAGAAAGACTGAGCCTACCGCATCTTTATTGCGAGCAAATGCGATCTTGCAGCATCACTTTAGGTTGCTCTTGCATTTCTTCTTTAGCAGGACAACAGTGATGTTGGGATTGGCTCTTTTTCTTCTGAACTGACTTGATTTCTCCTAATTCCTCTTTTCAAATACACTGATTTTTTCCCCCCATTGAGAAGCAGTATCTGTTGCATCTATTTATTTGTTATTCATTTATTTGTAACCCCCTCTTCCATTACATCACTGATCCAGAACAAGTCTATCTTGTCTTATTTTTTCTCAAGCAACTCTTGATGCTAGTCAGAATTGCTGACCATTGTGACACTAAACACAGGACAAGTCTTAAGGGAGAATGCAAAGTACAACTGAAACGTTGGTGTCTTTATTTCTATACCATATGCACTTTCATATGTTTGGCACCGCGTCCTCCACCCCAGCCCCCCACAACTCCTGTGATAATGAATTACACATCGAGGTAGTGGAGTAGGAAAGAAATACCTTGGGTAACTGTATCCACGAAGTGTATTTCATATTCCTGCTTCTTCAAACAAGTGCGTGGAATATACTTGTGTGTCAGAAGGCTAGTAAAACTAAGATAAATGAGAAGATTTACTGCCTGCATTAAATAAATGACTTCATCTTCTTGGTGAGGCAAAGATTTCATTCAGGAACATGTAATAAAAAATGAATGGTTAATATTACCCTTCCAGTACCACCTACAGTAATGTATGATCCAAACCAGCTCAATTTTTCCCTAATCATAGGACATGTATTTGTCGCTGTGTTTCATAGCTATGAAGTTACTTTTTACCAATTAAGTTTAAGTTCAGCTAACAAAAAGGCAATCATGAACAAAAATCTTTGTCATCTGTTTTTCTCTTTGCTTCTGGAATTCCCTGTTTGCTGGGTTGGCTGTTTAAACCAAGCACCATAACTGATTTAGAAATCTTATATTGTTCCTGTTGTTCTGGCTCATGTAACTATATGACTTCATGCTCCTCAACTGGACACAGTTCCTCCCCTGTCTACTGTTACCGTGGGATTTTTGTAATCGCTGCTGTGTTTTTAAATCCCTCTACACTTTTCACATGCAAGACCACAGAGCACATTATGTTGCTTCATATATAAAAAGACTGATCACGATTGCAAGCAAAGACTGCGATTTTGGAAGTGGAGGGGAAAAAAAAGCTACTCAGCAAGCTCAGGTTTGCTTTTTTCTAGCGTGTCCCTAGTGCCCCTACTGACTCACTGCCTGCGGTCTGAGAAGATGCCATAGCTGTGGGAAATGTCCGCTTGCTGTTCTCCTCAGCATCGTTAGCTCCCAGTCAGCCCCACCAATCAGCCCTGACATGGTGAGTGACCTAAAGCCCTGCACTGAGGCATGGTAGATAATGTATGCTGTAGGCTTACTCCATCTGAGCGGTGGGGATGGCTGGTAGCTTGGGGAAGTGCTCAAGCTGAGCTGCAAGTTGTGGTCCACCTGCCTTGTCAGTCATCATCTGCAGATCTGCAAAGAAGTACACATGCATCCATGCTTGCATTTCAGCAGCGATCCTACCGATTTCACTTGCAGCATGTAATTATCAGCACCTGAGGCTTTACACTAGTGAAGCCACTGTTTGACACACCATGAACAAAATTCAGCATATCTACACATAATTTTATCCATGGGAGAAGGAAGGGCAGTAGGAGATGTTTTTTTCACTTCTATTGTAATTTTAGAGAGGCGTTTGGATGTGGTGATGGTGAGACTGTCACTATTTAGCAATTTAGATTACCCTCTCCAGATCAGCGTATAGGGACAGAGATAGCACTTTACCTCTACAACTTTCAACAAACTCAGCTTTGCGACAATCCCCCTTCACTGCTTGTCCACGTTGCATCATACGTCATGTAGACTGTGCCCAAGGATGGTTTTCTCCCTTAAATACAAAGCCAGCAAATCCCACTTTTTTAGAAATCATTTCTTTATTTCACCAGCTTATGGCCGTGTGTCTGTGCACAGACAATTTAATCTGCTGCTGGCAGTCTGTGTGCAGCACTGGTGGGCAAGATAAAGACATTCCAGTGTCCCAGGCAGGTATTGCAAACATGGGTGTGACGTTTACATCACGGATGACCGATGCAGGGAGAGTCCCCTTGGTCGACACAAACTTCTTTTGTGGAGAGGGCAGGTGAGGCACTTTTTGTTGCTTGAAGTGCTTCTGGCCTCGTTGCTCCCGGCTATGGGCCTTTCTAGCCATTACTTTGTCCCTTGCAGGCTGTTGACTTCTACAGTGAGGGTCTCCTCCTCCCTGCCCCTTCCAACTCTTGACAGTGTAATTATTCTTCACAGCCTGCCTGGTTTCTTTTGCAGTGAAAGGGGCTGTGGAAATCCCAGGACCCCATAGTGGGGAGGCAATCTGTAACCAAGCTGTCGCTGCTCTGGCCAAAGGAGCACTCCCTCATGACAAAGTGTGTGTCTCTTGGCCCACCTCCTCCTGTTTCTCCCAGTCAGTCATATAAAACTGGTGTATGACAGCACTTATTTCTCTGGATAAGCATGCAAATTCCTGTATTCTTGGCATCTGTTGTGCATTGGGCTAATTCCTCTGTTTCGTCTTTCTCTGTCCCATCTATTTGGTGATTCTCAGAGTTATCTTCCCTCTCTGTTTCTGTGCTCCCCAAAAGCACATCTGGGAACTATGCACAAGGACATTATAAATTATTAAAACCAGGTTTGCCCATATCAATAAGCCCAAGAACATGTGTTGGTGCAATAGTTGTGGTTTACTTTGCATCTGCTTGCCAGTCAGCTTTCAATATTCAGTATTTCTTAATGCCTCACCGCCTTATTCTTATGTGAACCAGAGAAAATTTCTCCTATTTTCAATTGCATGAAGCTGGCTCAGCCAAACTGATTAACAGAATAAATAGTAAAGTCCATGTGAATGCAGTTCCTGGATGCCAAACATCATCAGTCACAGAGCCACTTGGATGAGTTGCTCCAGGACAGACAGCAGAACCTGGGAGTCACTAGAAAAAGCGGGTACCTTAACTGTCCCGTACAGAAATGGTCTTATCCCCACTCCATGATGCCTGAATTTCCATTTCCCCTTCCATGGACTAGGGATAATGAACACACATCTTGCTTGGGCCTTTTGAAAGCCTCTGTCGCAAGGGACTGCCAGAACACTAAATATTACTTGAGATTTTGGTTATTTTATCGGGATGTCCTAGGAGAGCAAAATTCACCCAAATGTGGCAAGGCAGCTGCATGTAGCCCTGGTGTGGGAAATAGCGATCTAGTGAGATGAGCAACGGGTGAGACATATGGAGAATAGCCTGGTCTTCAAGTTAGGAACGTCACAGCTATACTCCAGCATCTTGAGCTGTATAAATGAATCATCAGCACAGCGAAACCACAGAATGACACCAGCTTCCCTAAAAGAGTCTCTCTCTATATATAGCTGCTAGACTTGCATATTTCTGTTTATAAATACTCAATAATAACTGACCACAAAGTGACATGGCCTTCTCAGCAGACCAGTCCTAAAAAAAATACTTGTTCTATCTTTCATTTCTTCCTGAGTTATTTTAAACCAGACTTTTGCACCTCCACATACACTATTTTAACTTAAAGTCCTGGTACCGGTGCATGCGATCATAACATTTTCTGGATAAACAGACAGCCAGGACGGAGCTCTTCTGAAGAATGTTGATTAAAAGTGTTGATCCTTGTTAGGTGTATCTGAGGACATTATGCTATCTGGGAACTGCACTGCTACTCTGTAGCTATTTGGTTTTGGTTTAGTTTTCTAAGGCAGGACAGCATATGTTACCGCACTATAAACTCACTTTGAACCCTTTAGCCTGCTTCATCTGTATTTTCCAAGGGGCTGTGTCTTCAAGGAGTCTGGGTTTGTAGAAGTGTGATGAAAATTGGTCACTGGTGGTGTGTACAGATGGGCAACCCAAAGCATTGCCTCACGGAGGGAAAGTCAGGCAGAGCCCAGCCCTTACGCCGGTGGGCAATGACGAGTTGACCAGTTAGCATCGATGTAGTTGTGAGCGAGCCCAAGGATGTGCCGCACCTGGCCTAGATGAACTAGTCATGGGTGAGGTGGGAGCAGAGGACATGAAGTGGGGGGAAGGAAAGGGCTGGGGTGTGGTGGGGAAAGGCCACGAGGGGAGAGCTGAAGTGGCTGCAGTGGAGGGGTGTATGTGTGCGCGTGTCAGGGCACGGGGCACAAATCTCCAGAAAAGCAAGTGATGCTAGTTCTGCTGCTCATTGAACAGCTTGCTGTCGGATGGCTTTACTCAGTGAATGCAATGAATGCGTTTGCAGCAGTTGGTAGGTACAATCTTTCCAAAGACATCAAACCTCATTTCCTGCAGTTTTGCTCTTTTCGAGCCTGGTAAATGTCTGGGTTATTTGCTGGGAACTTGCCTGGCTCTCGTGACCACGGTTACGATTAGAGACTCCCACCTCTATTGCATAAGTCTTTCATATGGTAATAGCCTGAACTTAAGACTTAATATAACACAGGTCACCTAGTCCGACAGCCCTTCTGTCTGGTTGCCATACAGTGAACTGGAAAAGGAAGGACTGCAAGAATTTTATAATTCATGAGGTCAGATTCCCAGAATGAAGTGCAGGGGGTCCACAAAGCAAGACCAGCGGTTTCGTAGCCCAAATGTGGGAGTTTAGCATCAATGGAGATGAGTTCCTTCTTTTCACCGAGAAGATGGAGGACTCCAGGGCAGTAACTAACTTTTGCTGCATCATCAGCCTTTCAGGTTTATGGATTACAGGACTGCTTAAGGAAAACCGGGCAGCCATGTGTGGGGCTGATAGCTGTGGAGACCCTTGCAATTACTGCATTGATCAGGATATAGAAACTGTAAAGACCATTACAGATTGAAATATGGGGCTTTGTGATTTTTTTTGTTTATTTACTAAAGTTGCTGTAATATGGTGGATATTGCCTGCACAAAAGAATATGTGCAACCCAAGCATATGACACATCCCCAAAGATTGCAGTATATTAATAGATGTCATCATCTATACGTTGCTTCTCTCCATAGTAGATGGCAGCATGGTCTCAAAAACTGATAATTTTTCACCTCTTAAACAATATTCTGAGGTCTCCAGTATAACTGAGGCTGATATTAGTTAAAGAAAGAGTTAATGAATTATGTTAGGGTTAAATAAAAAATGCTTACTGCAATAAACAGCTATGTATTTTTCTTACTCAGTCGTTATTTGGTTAGTGAGAGCACCACAAAGCCTGAGCCTTAGGCTAGGACCCCAGTGCTCCAGACCGGGGCTGCTCAGCTGAGGTTTACAAAGTCTGGGCAGGCGAGGACATTTTACTGAGGTCTGCTAGCAGAGAGAGACTTGTGTGCTGACTCCAGGTCCGGCAGGTCATCTGGGCACCACACACTGCCTTCCTGGGCCAGCAATGAGGCAGTGCACGACAGCTGCTCCCTGAGGGATCAAGAGACCGTAAGAAATGCAGGGTTGCCTGCAGGAGGCATCACGTGTCAGGACAAGGCACAGGAAAAATTCGTCTTGCGGTCCAGTTCCAGACTGAAGTCCTCCACTAGATTGCCCTCTTCTAAACAGGTGGAGGCCAACATTGCCACAATTCATAACCTATTTCTTACCCCTTCTGCTCCTCGGCCTGGATGCCATAATCTGCTTATATGTGTTAATTTTTTATACTCCATTGCCAAGAGAGCCTTAATGTAAGCTGTGACACTAAGATGGATGTTACGGAAGGAAAGGGGAATCGATCCCTTTGTGATTCACAAGCTATCTGGGAAATCACAAAAGATTTGTCTTGTCCATGAAGAACTTGCTAAACCACATTATGTGAAGATTGCAATTATTTAGCTGCTGACTATGCTGCAGGACACCTTTTGTTACCCATGAGAATTTTTTATTTGAGGTAGAGCGTGAAATAGTCATGTGAAGACATGAGTGTATGCAAACTGCCGTTCGTCAGAAAAAGGGAAATTTAGTCATATATTTAGCAGTCATTTCCCCTTTTTTGGGGGAATCCAAATACATATTTTTCTCTCTCTGTGTGTCTCTGTTTCTCTCATCCTCACTCTACGGAAGGAAAGAAAGGTGGGTCTAAAATGTCATTTGGTTCTGACACAAATCTGATTGGGCAATGAGAGACAAATTTCCGCTGTGTATTGAGCTAAAGCCTATATAAGGTCCTCACCAGCATTTTTTAGTCTTGTATCTTTTCATGAGAAGTTAATAGCTGAAAGACTGCAGAACCACAGGTAAGTGAATCTGATGGAAATTTGGGAATGAAAACATCCACTAAACCCTCAGATTGTGTAGGGCTTATGGAGACTGCTAGATACTAAACCAAAGGGACCGGAAAGCTCTGAACAAAATAACCAAGTATTTTCATCAGGCAAAGGATCTAACGAGAGAGAAACTCCCCTGTTACAGGGTATTACATGTGAACCACGGGGCTTGTTAATGCCACAGACAAAGCCGCTAGCAGCTCGTCCAGGTGTAGCCCTGAGAGGGGCTACAGCTCCATGCCAATGCCCTGGAAACCCTTGCAGATCTAGCGGTAGGGGGATGACCCGTGGTTATGAAACAGTATTATTGAGCAAGAGGTTGGCTTTGTGGTGTTGTAAAGATGACAATAAGCTGGAAGTAGTTTATTATAGTCAAACTATCAGACATCAGATAAATAGAGCTACTAGAACAGGGAGAAATTTGGATTAAAACCGCATTATAAATATGAGCATGATTGGATACACAGAAGATGCCTGAAGGTGAGTACCTATGAGTATGACTGCTATATCGGTAGAAATAGGTTTTTTGCATTTGGATACAATCAGAAGTAGTTGTCCGGTCATTTAATATTCATCCTATGGGACAATCACAGCGTTAGGCTAATGTTAAATGCATCCAATTTACATTTCTGTATATAAAATGGAAATAGTATGTATCATGTGCATATATGTACTGTATTGCACACAAATACCTTACATAAAGCATAAACTGGTGCCTATATATAGCATGTTTTATGCATTTTTGCCTGTGGTACACTGAGACAACACATAATCAACCAACTGGATAGCAGCAGCTGAAACCTCGTGGCAGACCAGAAAGCATTCCGTGATGTATGCAGAAGCTGCCTTGCCCATGCCAGGCAATACAGATGACAATGAATGACTGGCAGCGGATAGTTTTGTTTTCCCTTAGTGTCACCGTGTCTGATTTTTAGGACAAATTGTTCAGGGTTTTCCTCATCTTTTTTTAGCACAGATGGAAATAGTGTCCATGCTGAAAACTCACTTGTGCACCAACAGCAAGATGTGTGTGCACGCCATGGGAGTCAAAGCTTTTTGTCCCAAGAGACACATTTGCTGGAGATTTTGAAAGCTTGGCTCTGTTTATAGCAGGAATTTTGCTTGCAGCCTGATCTACGCTAGCTGGCCTACTTTGGTAGCCACAGTGGGGAAGATAAAGTGACACAGGATTTAATGAGGTCCATACAACCTTGGGAGATACCTGAAGTGACCACTTAAGAGAGCTAAAGTCTATTCTACTGCATCATTGCTCCTGTGTTCACCCAAGCTACTGCACTACAGCTAACTCGAAGCAGCTGACCCATGCCTCAGTCACATCTTATTGCAAAATAAGCAGAGCCAGATTTTTCCACCCGTAGCTGTTGCACTGAAAAGCCGTGGGGACAGCAGCATCTTGTGGTATGTTGTTTGCATCTCCTGGAGTGAAAGGAAAGGGACAGAAGTGATGTGTTTGTGCCAAGCCAGATGCTCTTGTTCCACAAGTCAGCCCCCATAAACTAGGGATGAAGAAGCCTTTCTGCTCACTAAGGGTGAACCAAAGCTCACCAGGTCCGGAGTGAGGAAAAGAGCAGTTAACTCTTAAGTTAACATTGAGTACTTTCATTGTATCTTCTGTCTTGTAATAAACTTCCTTGTAGATTTCAAGACGCTTTCCCTCGGTCTTCTGATTTCCTCTGGGAAAAAATGCGTGGGCTTTTCTTTGTCCTGGTGATGTGCACAGCAGGCGCCTCTGCTTTCAGACTCCAGCAAGTCAAAAGCACAGGTAAGGGCATGCTTTTGGTTTTTTTCTGTCTCCCTCTCCCTTCTTTTTAATGTGCCTGGCTAACAGTAATGTAAAAATATCTCTGATTTTTATAGAAAACTGCCCAAATCACACTGTGTTTTTCAAACACTACTATGAACTGCATGGAGAACCTGTGGTTCTGAAATGCCCTTCCCCCAGATACAAACATTTGGATTTTTCTGCCTTGACCCCTAATATCACATGGTATAAAAATGGTTCAAAACCCACGATATCAGGAAGAGATGAAGATCCAAGAATCTGGGCAAAAGGAGATGCACTCTGGTTTTTGCCAGCAATGCTAGAAGACTCAGGAGTATATATCTGCACCAGAAGGTGGGTATTTAAAAGAAAATCCAGTGCTCTAACAAGATGACTATCTCTAAAATACATTAGCTTGATTCTAAACTCCAGTTATGTTCAGAGTATGTCTGGATAAGACCATTTCCTCACCGACTTTATTAGAGAAAAAAATGTGGAAAGTCAGAACTCTTAAATGCATTTTGTGTCTTCTATAGATATATATACTGAAATCTGGATAAAACGTGACACAGTATTGCCACTCTGGCTACGATCTCAGGAGGAAATAGTGTACAGAGAGTTTGTTCTAGCTTATTTATGAGCCAGTCAGGGCTATGGCAAGCGGGGACATGCTGCAGGCAGGGGATTCTGCACAACGCAACCCTCGTGTTACAGCTCCAGAGAGGCAAATAGCCTCGTTTGCACTTCAGGTTGCCTTACGAAGCATATACCAAGGCACCGTGGCCCTGCAGTGGCTTCCTTCTTCCCTATTCCTTACCCCTGGTCTTTACTTTTCCTCTGCTTCACATTTTACACCAGAATTTGATTGCCTTGGTATTGCTGTAAGATCTTTCATGAGAGCCAATGTGTATTTACTAGACTGGTACCGGACTTGTGATATTGGCAGTGGGTTGAGACGTGAGCCATGGCTTTTTTCAGCCCTACTGGTCATTTTTTTCCGAGTTTTTACAATCTGACAGCCCGTACAGTTTCAAAAGAGGTACCAGGGTCTGGATTTGTGGGGGACTGAGGAAGGCAAAAACGTCCGTCACCATTAGAGCCTGAACTCCAGAAGGTGTCCCAGGTCCTTGTCCCCTGCCAGCTCCTCCATCCAGTCAGCCTCCCAGTACACCCTTGGCAATTCGCACCTTGCTCTGGGGTCTGTAGCAGAAAACATCTCTCTACATCCCTGGAGCTGCCCGTGTAGAGCGCAGTTTCCTTGCTGGCAAGGCACACGTGAGTGACGTGTGTCAGCAGTAGAAGAGATGGACAGGCAGAACTCAAGTTAATAAATCATGCTCAGCATATTGAGTTGGCCTTTCCACATGTCTCAGCAGCGATTGCAGTGGTGGAGCGGAAGAGAAGACTTTGATAGTGAGGCCAGAATAACAAAAGGTTGCAAATATTGTCCTAAAGCACAGAGTAGTTGCCCGAGACCTTCACGGGTGTTTTTTAGTCCCCTTTTTGGACTATTCTGCCTCAGTTCCTCAACCTATAACACTGTGGCAGTGTTATTGACAGCTATAGTAAAATGCTGTGAAACTTGTTTGAAAAAGATATGCAAGAGCCGAGTATTACAGTACAAAAAAATTGTTTTTCCTCTGCAAATCATCCCGCAGGGAAGCCACCAGATTTTTTTCAACACTCTGTAAAATGAGGGTAGAAGCAAATTATCACAGATCTCTGCTTCTGCTGAGCAAGTATTTTGGATTTAGAAGTCCGACCCGTAGGTGACAGCCAGTCACCGTGCCCCAGCAGTAGTGCGAGTCTGTCTGCTCGCAGCCCCCAGCTGCTCTCCAGGAGGTTGCAGCCCGTCCCCCCGGCTTTGCTGGTCCCCGCAGGGCTCAGGCACTGCCCTGGGTGAAGGCACCTCCGAGGCAGGCTTTCAGAGATGTGTCCAGAAAGGACACAGTTTAAGCACCTATCTCCCCCAGTTTGGTCCTCCTTGAGACTGGAAGCGATTGTCACTTGGGGCCAGAAAGAAAAGTTAAATATTTGTAAATATTTGTAAAACTTTCAAGGCAGGAACGCCCTCTTTTCTACGCAAAATAATATGCACTCACAGAAATGCCTACTGGTTGTGCAATAGTAACTGCAGGTGTATTTTAATACATGATTTAAGCTTTTTATTTTACCTTTAGGTCCGAATCATTAGGGTTTTCACAGTCAAGACCTCTTTCAAGGAAATGGTGGAGGGTCCATGACACACCCGCTACTGTTTAGGCAGACACGTTCCCCCTCCTTGCAGAATTAAAACCATGCCTTAGCCTAAGGGTGCACAGCAAACCTGCTGTACAAAAAAGAAACGACTGAAGCTCCGAGGCAGACACGTGTCAGCAACATGTTTAGATTGTGCCAAAAAAACAGTACCAGTGATTTTCCAGGATCCCTCCTGGTATGATCTCAGTCTTGGCCTCTCAGAAATGGCTAAGGAGGGGAACGGAGCCAGGAGGAAACCAAGGATGTCACTTGAGTTCCTCTCGTCGCTGGTGGGTACTCACCTCTCTCCACTCCGTCTGCAGGAACTCCTCCTACTGCGCCGAGGTCTCCATCCACCTCACAGTCGTGGAGAAAACAGCTGCTCAGAAGATTGCCTATCTCCAGGTCCTCTTCACTTTCACCTCTGGAAAGATCGTTTGCCCTGACCTGTGGGATTTTACACCAAATAGGACAAGCTTGGAGCTCACGTGGTACAAGGTAAGAACTTTCACCTCTTCTTTGTGCAAAGCCTAATCCCAACCTGTTTGTAAAGGCACGTACACCTCCACTTCCTGTTTCTCCTGAACATGATGTTGTTAAAGCCATGAGCACAGCATAATATACTGGGAATTTTGGGGCAGATGTATATATTTTGAGAAAGGTTGTCTGGGGTGGACTCAGCACACGGTGAAGCACTCCACATGTTATGTGCTGGATGAAATAAAAATAAAAATTTCTTTACTGAAAGAGCGGTGAAACATTGGAACAGGCTGCCCAGGGAAGTGGTGGAGTCACCATCCCTGGAGGTATTTAAAAGACATGTAGATGAGGCACTTAGGGACATGGTTTAGTGGGCCTGGTGGTGTTGGGTCGACGGTTGGACTCGATGATCTTAGAGGTCTTTTCCAACCTTCATGATTCTATGATTCTATGATCCTATACTCTCACAGGTAGTGTAACTATTTTTAAGGCTAGATTACCTACCCTGACTTCCAGGGTTTGCCACTTCAGACTAGGCCCTTCTCTTTGGCACTATGCTTCTTTTTATGGCCCCTCTAGTGAATCCCATGAAGTAGGACCTCCCAGGGATGCTTCCCTCCTGTGAGCTGTTCAGATGGAGTAGCTTTCATTAATCAACCGGAATACAGCATTTGGAAATACTAGATTCATGACACAATGCTTATAGTGTTCTCTTGCCTAACTTGCCAGTCCATGGCTTTTCAAGTAGGCAAACCTGGTTTTGCCCGTAAGGTCAAATATCCTTCACCTGATCATCCTCAGCTGTACAGTCTCGCACTGGACAGCACGGGAGTCTTCTTATATTTTCATAATACCTTGGTTTAGCTTTTATTTACACTCCCACTATGATCGCATGCTCTGCCTCGTGCAGCTATCATTCTTACCGTAGGATGCAATACCTAGGCTGGCTTCATACAGCAGTGCCTATGTCGTGATTGGTACCATACCAGCAAAATGCCTCTGCTCAGGATTCCCTTCAGAAGCAGGCTATAACCCGCTTTTATGTATCTAAGTAAAAGGCTGCCCCCCTCAATATGGGCCGTGCTACAACTGTCAGAAAGAGCTAGCCTGCCTTCATGGAGAAGGAGCATCATTGCTCCTAGCAGGACTCCAACCCATGTATGAACAGAGCCTTAGTGATACAGGAATTTATCACAGTTTATGAGATCATAGAATCATTAAGGTTGGAAAAGACCTCTAAGATCATCGAGTCCAAGCGTCAACCCAACACCACCATGCCCACTAAACCATGTCCCTAAGTGCCTCATCTACACGTCTTTTAAATACGTCCAAGGATGGTGACTCAAACCCTTCCCTGGGCAGCCTGTTCCAATGCAGGGAACAGAGAGGTCATGTAGGGTAACTAGTAGGTTTGTGAAACCTGCACGGTTACTAAAATGTATTTATCTTAGAAGAATGGCTTAGAATATTACTCTTATGAGGTCATGTATGGAAAATAATAGTGTTGTGAAAACCTTGATGGTTACTAAAATGGTTTTGTCTTAAAAGAATGTGTTAGATGACTACTCTTAAGAGAACTCAGTAAAGAGCCTGTTACATCTTTTCCATCCTAAAATGTGCATTTTATTGAAAAGCTACACACGCATTATAGATAGATTAAAATAGCGATTCTGCACACTTCATATAGTGCCTCAGAGCATTTTAGAGAGAGATACATGTTTGAAGAACTTGCCCTTTGGTGGGAAAGTGGAACTGCTCAGATTTCCCAGTGATAAGTGAACTTTTAACGACAGAGAGACAAGGATTAGTAATTTCATCTGGCAGTTACACAGAGTGCAACCACACCTATCATCTGAGCCGTAACACCAGTTGCTGTCCTTTCTCCAGGATGCTCTGCCTTTGGAAGACGACAACGAAAAATTTGTGATTCTGAAAGGTTCGACTTCTCTGATCATGACTTCTGTGCTACCGACAGACGCTGGCTATTACACCTGCAAGATGGCATTTCCATACGAAGGTGTAACGTATGAAATCACCAGAACAATTCAACTGCAGACTGTCGGTAAATATCGACACCTTAAAACGTTGCAGCACTTAAGAAAAATCTCTTATTTGTTAATGAAACTCAGAAGAGGAACTCATACTTGGCCTCTCAGCACTGCCAAGGAAAGGGGGACGCCACGGGTGCGTGCTTTGGCACTGATGAGTTTCCCGCAGCACCCCGGCAGGGCCGGGGTCACCCCCTTGCCCGACTTGCAGCGGAGCTGTGGGAGGCAGAACTCGATGTTGCAAGCGCCTGCGGTTGTTAAACCGAGTAATTTATGTCTTGGGGGGGGGGGTGTG